GGTGGGAAGGGGCTGGTCACCCCGTGGTGCCCTTATAAAACTCAACGTTTAACCAACTCACGCCGGCTTGTGCCCACCCTCACAGTCGGGCATATTTGCGGAATACACCACGCCGCCGTTGACCCTGGCCATTGACCGAGCAACCCAACGTTCCTACCAGCTCCCTCCGCAGGAATGTGTTAGTGTACTCCCGAGTTGATTTGTGAACAATGCTTGTTCGCTGCAGTCTGCAGTATCAAAGGATTACATGTAGGCAAAGGAGGTGCTGCTTATTCTCGCTGTACGTTCTACAGAACCGGTTTCAATATACTGTGGACACTTTAGTCCGTAAATGTTGACAGCTGTTGAGCACGGGTGTATTTAAGACAAAAAAGGGCTCGCAAAAACAAGACACCCTTCAAATTTCACTTCTCAAAATACCAACCCTTGAGCCACCGCAGTTGAAGTAAAATACTCAATAAACCAATTATTTTCAAAAATATCTTGACAGAAATATCCGCCCGTTGTTTCCCGCATTTTGCAAGGCCTTCAATTGTTTTTCAAGCAGCTCAAGTCAATGACCTTGGCATTTTCTTGATGTAATGGACTTTAAAGTGACCTGTGGAGTTCCAACTGCAGGCGAGCCGGCCGCTTTTGAGTCTATTGTATTCCCTTTGCGAGGTGAGATTGTGCAATATGCCAGGCTCGAGTTGATTTTTTTTTGCACTGGATGATATTCAACATCGCCAAACCCTCTACCCTTTTATCTGGCAACAAAACTGACACCTTTTTTTACGAGGAGTCATGTTTACATAGACCACAATACCTGCAATCATAATGCAAACAAAAAACACAACTCTGATAATGTATGCACTGTCCTTGAAGTTGATTGGTCCACAACCGAGACAGCTTTCCTTAGAGCCTGGTCTCATATGGGTTGGACCAGATGACGCCAAAAGGCGCACAACTCAAAGACAATGCACCATCAGAGTATGAGAGCTCGGGGTAAGCATTTACACCATTGGTACCTCAGGACAGTGCATACATTATCAGAGTTATGTTTTTTGTTTGCATTATGACTGCAGGTAGTGTGGTCTATGCAAATATGACTCCTCGTAAAAAAGGTGTCAGTTTTGTTAGCCAGATAAAAGGGTAAAAAAACAATTATCATTGCCAAACCCGGTTTCCTCAGAATTAACGATGTCCTCTCGTCTTCTTTTGTGTTTGAGTGGTATCATGGAAAGGGCACAGCATAAGGCACATCACCACACAGGATCGTTAGGTACGGGGGCAACTTTGCAAAAACAATTCTAGCTCGAGGCAGATTTTTAAAACAGGTTTTTAATGGACATTTTACTTATGTACAAATTTGCAAGAAATGTTAAGATAGAACAAAACTTGTCAGCCTTTGCATAAATATATGCTGAAAAATTACACTTTCAGGAGCATTAACTATTTCGATTAACCATTGTTCCGCTAATGTCTGTACCCAGCAATGCGGTTCATTGTACAACTTTGTGGAAGATTTACTTGATACAGCTGTCGTGGCTGTGACGGTTCCACCTGAAGACGGAAGCTTGTGTTGCCTCCGAAACGTCGTGATTTTTATTTTATTTTACTTTTATTAATTTTAATTTTTTTTACCTACGTGACTTTACCGAAAAAACCTAATAATATGAATAATTTGTGGAAGATCACTTATACCTGGCGCGTATCATCATTCCGTCTTGGCGGTGCCGTTGGGACAATTTTACGGCGCAATCAAAGATGACTAAAGCGGCCCTAAGTTCAAATGTGAACACATCAATAATTTAATCACGTGCCTTAATTTGCATACATGACAATATCTCAGAAGTTGAGTATTCAAAAACATAAGTGACACTCAAATTAGAGTAGTATTCAATCTTGTGCAACGATCGTCGGCAACTGAACATGCACAGAAGCAAATCAACATCACTTGCTCCTGTTCAGACTCCCACAATTACTCCCCACCATTGTGACAATGCCTTACTTAAAAAAAAAATGGTGTTACTACGTTTACACTCATGTTCACACTCAAGTTAAAGACAATGAAATTTTTGCATTTGTAAAAAAAAATGTCAAAAGCAATGAATACACAAACGGTGGCATAATAATCATCCCAACATCATCCACACCTCGAGGGGTAATTTAATCTTTTCCCCTTCCGACGACGTACGCATAACATCGTTACGTTTTTCATCCAATGACGTAACAATGACGTCACAATGACGTACGCGTACATCATCATGACGTACGCGTACATCATCATGACGTACGCGTACATCATCATGACGTACGCGCACATCATCATGACGTACGCGCACATCATCATGACGTACGCGCACATCATCATGACGTACGCGCACATCATCATGACGTACGCACAAGTAAAGTTTTTCTTCCAACGACGTAACAATGCCGTACTTGTACATCATGACGTACATCTCCTAAGTTTTTTCTTTCGATTCCATTCCATTGGATGTACGTCATCTGAACCGAATCGGAAACAAAACAGCACGTGGATGCATCGTCACACATCAGGTCGAACAACACGAGGCACAACCCAAAGATGTATCGGATCTAAAACACAAAACATTTTGTACGCACCCTAAAAATCTATTTCAACGTCCAGAAATTTGCCAACTCATTTAATTGTACCGACCTAAACAGAGCATTTCTCGTTGTATTCTTCTAAATTTTACATTTTGGTATCCTCGTGAATTCCTCAAGTTAGTGTGCCCCCACGTTCAAGTGAGTATGGGGGAGGCAGTGCTCAATCTCCATTGCTAGCCCTGAGGATGTAAACATTCCACATTCCCACGGCGAGAGACAGTCAAAGGACAACCACCACACACACCCCAAACCAAGGTTATTGATTAGGGCGGAGCTAGGCTATACACAGAATGTCCTATCTCCTGGCTGATGGTGGAGTGCCCACTTTATTGGTTGATGGATGAGACCCACCCCCCAATTATCGATCGATCGACACAAGACCATCAATCATCAACAGCCATCCTTCCACGTGCAGCCGTCCATTCTAAACTGATGTACAAATAGGGCTGTTGTACAATGGCCGAGCCAGTAAATATTTCCAATTATTTGCATTGCAGTACTGTGCATTTTAGTACCCGCGACTGCCACATGACACGCAACAGTTATGCGAATGAAACGTCACCATAAGAAACACTACGAAGCATCGAGAGAGACAGGGGGAGTTGAATTCATTGAGCTTCCCTCGACAAAAGATGACGATGAGACGTCTTGCAATTGGCAAGTTTCTTGACGGTCGGCATCAACTTTGAGATGATAATTAATACATCATTCGGAGTGTATCATGGCATATTCTGGGTGGCCGTTAGAATCACAGCAGGCCTTCAAAATGGGAATAAGGGCTCTACGATTATTTCTAAATGTAATTAATAAGTTTTTTTTTACGAACGCCCTTTTACTCACCGTTTAAATTGGAAATGCTATTGAAACCAATGTACGCCACGTACACACACACATCTGAATTACAATGCTCAACCAGGGTAATACAAGTCGCTTAATGTGCCCCCCCCCCTCCCCGACTGCTCATACATGACAGAACGCTTCAAGACAAACAAGAACAACGTCGCAAGAACAATACAGCTGCAATGCCCGGTCAAAAACAAAAGAACCTGTTTCATAAAAACCTTCAGCTTTGTTACAAAATATCCTAGTGCAAAAATGCATTTTAAAACGCCGTCCCCCTCGCTATTGTCACGGTCACAGTACGCGAGTCGATTTAAACAAGCCACGGTGAAGCAGAGCCAATCTGCACGGCGTCGTCAAATGAGCATCTCTCCCCCACCGCGAAACAGCGGTGTGTGCGCGCGGCATGTGTTAGAGTGTGACACGTGTTAGAGTGTGGCATGTGTTAGAGTGTGGCATGTGTTAGAGCGTGGCATGTGTTAGAGCGTGGCATGTGTTAGAGTGTGGCATGTGTTCGAGTGTGACGTGTTAGAGTGTGGCATGTGTTAGAGCGTGGCATGTGTTCGAGTGTGCCATGCGAATGTATTCGGTGCAAGGTCCGGAATACGAAACAGCCGAATGAGCTGGAGCACAATATGCGCAACTGGTCAAGAATACTTTTTACTGGTAGGAACCTCTGGTGACACCAGCCCACGGGGGATTATTGTGTCCGTCGTGCAGGGAGGGGCTGGGTGGGGAGGGTAGGGCTGGGTGGAGAGGGGAGGGTGGGGAGGGGCTGGGTGGGGCTGGGTGGGGAGGGGCTGGGTGGGGAGGGTGGGGCTGGGTGGGGAGGGGCTGGTCACCCCGTGGTGCCCTTATATAAACTCAACGTTTAACCTACTCACGCCGGCTTGTGCCGCCCTCACAGTCGGGCATATTTGCGGAATACACCACGCTGCCGTTGACCCTGCAGGCCATTGACCGAGCAACCCAACGTTCCTACCAGCTCCCTCCGCAGGAATGTGTTCTCTTGCACACAAGCTTGACCACTCGGTTTTCCAAATTGCAGCTTGCCAATGCCAACTCTGCTGCTTGCACAATGCAGAAAAAGCCACGAAAACGTCAAAGCTCATGTGGCCTGCGTTGCGTTCTCTCCCTCTGTCGGCTGCGCCAGGTACTACTGTAACGTTACATTTCGATTTAAAGCTGTTGTGACTGCAGGGATTCATATTCTTGGTTCTTTCGGAAAATTCACGTAGAAGGGAAATAATAAAAATCAAACTATCAAATTCTCTTTATTTTGGCAATCGAAACGTTGCGAGAATTTTATTGTTTTATTTTTAGTATTTCCCTTCTACGTGACTTTACCGAAAGAACCAAGAATACTGAGGCGCCTTGGAATGTAATGTTTTGACACTTTGTTGTGCCTTGCACTGGGGGGGGGGGGGGGGGGGTTATCTAATTTGGAGGGGTCTCGCATTGGTTGCAAAGAATGCGGTAATGTCATCCCGCCGACCGAGTTCTAGCTGTCTTTGTTATATGGACGGGTAATAATGTAAGATGTTGAGTTACCCGTGGGAGATTATTGTCTACATCCCATGTTCAGATTCTATTATTTCACAATGGCAATGATTAAATCCTTCAACAACACAATTGGCCAAGTTGGATACATTTTTTTGGTGATGTCACCAAAAGGGAAATGTTTTGGATAAAAATAAATCGCCTAAAATGTATTTCTGCTCTCCTAGGGCCAAGTTAAGCCACCGAGATAACCTCGCTATTCTATGACTTATGGGCTTAACGGACACGTAACGGTGTACACAAAGCCAAAGCAAGGGCAGCTTCAGGGGCCGTTGAAACATTTAGGTGACCACCAGTCGCTAAGCTATAACACGTAGCTAGAGTTCTCCCAAACTTCCCACAACACACCTGGCTTGCTCACCACACTCTGACAAAAACTTAAAAAAGAAATCACCATTGCAGACTTCTAATTTCCATCGTCAACAATACCCACGCGTTTATACGAAAGAACACGTTGCCCGGGCAGAGGGGTTGTCATGTGAACCAGCTCTAGGCGCAGATCGCGTAAGACGCCAAGAGAAATTTCGTTGTTGAGGAAGGTAGGGATGTGACGATGTGTGCCACCGCCACACGGGAGCGGAATGGTTTCCGCTGTGCGGCTGCCCCACCCCGCGCGCCCGCTGCTCGCGCACGGGACTCGTACAGGACACAGGATATTGCACTGCTGAGCACGTTGCCTCACGCACAGTTATCTCAAATGTAAAGCTTGCGCTAGCCAAAATACCAAAATGCTATGCTGTGATATAAAACAAAAATATTACAAATTAAGTGATTAAAAAGACTTTGACCATCGGCTACTATAAATGACATTGGTTAAGCGCATTCGAGAGCTTACTCTTCCCTTTATGTAAATGCAGCTGGGCAAAGCTTTAGTAAGCATCCCAAAGCAACACACAGGGTCCGGTTTATAATAAAAACACTTGCCACATTTTCACAGTATATACCAGCAATTAATATGTACAAAAGTTCCATTTATTATAAAATTGACATTACAATAATATACAAATGTCAGCTGGTTTCTATCATTTAAATTAGCTCAGCTACACATTTAAATCTTCGACAATAATGAAAACTTAGGATCATTTTACCAAAGGAGGACACTAGTTCGACTGCACGGTAACCAACGTCATTCATGTACCCGACCAGCACTACCCAAACGATCATCATGAATAACAAATTCGTCCGCACCCGTTCTCGTACACCTCACGGGCAAATACACAATGAGCACATTTGCACAGGCGCAACGGCGACGGCGTTGCGTCGTCGACAGAGATAAAAAAAAAAGCGTGGAGTCGTGATCGTCCATGGGCCACGCCGCACCGAAACGTCCCTTCACTTCGGCGCTTCCGCATCGTGTGGCGGCAGGGCAGGCGGGGGCGCTGGCGAGGGCGCCGGCAAAGTCACTGGCACTGCTGCCGACGCCGACGTAGACGCCGGCGTAAGCGCAGGCGCAGCTCTTCCTGCGGGCGTCACATTTCGCTGCGTCTCTATTGCGGTCATGGCAGCGGCTGGCTCGGGCTGCTCCACGGCAGGAATTGCGTCGCCGGCAGGCGCTTTTGCATCCGCGCCGTTGGCGGTAGCAGCGTGAGCATCGGCCAAGGCGGAGGCGATGGCCGGAGTGACGTGCGGCTCCACCAAACTGCCCGGCCGTCCGACCAGGACCGAAGCAGCCGCCAGCTGACCGGCCGCTCCGCTGCCTTGCCCGATGAGGACAGGCAAACTGATGATGTGGGTGGTGGTGGCGACAGCACCGGCGGGTAAAGGGTGCACGAGCGTGGGCGCTTTCGGAGCAGCCTCCAGAGTCACCGCGGATGAAGGGGCCCCACCCCGGGGTCGCGTCAGGCGGGGGCCGCCCCTTGGTCCCACCCCGCCGATGACGCCTTGCGGCGGGACGCCGGGCTGCGCCACGTGGATCACGGCGGCGCTGGGCCGCCCGATTAGGATGTGCGCCCCCGTCACGTGTCCGAGCGGACCGGTCTGCCCGATGAGCAGCGGGGCCGCCGCCTTGGGGCTCCCGCTCACGGCGTGGCTCGTCGCCGGGGAGCCGGGGCCCGCGGCAGACATGGCACGAATGTCTGTCACCTGCAGGCTCGTGCCGACGCCCGGGGCGGGCTTGCCGCCCGCGTCGGGGTTGACGGGACGGAGGACGTGAAGCGCGTGGCCGAGCGGGGCCTGGATGACCGACGTTTGGCCGGACGCGACGGCCCTCTGTGGCACCGCCGCCGCCAGGCTCAGCGTGGTCGCCACGCCGGCCTTGTCGTGCACCAGGGCGTGCGGCAGCGTCAGCACGTGCTGCGCGACGCTCCGATGCAGCATCGGCGCGTGCGACAGCGCCGGGCCCACGGCACGAGCGGTCGCCGTGGTCACCGTCACGGCGTGGTAGTGATTCTGCGACGTCGGGACGTGCTGCTTCTGGGATGGCGCGCCGACTACCGTCGCCAGCTTTGACGGCCGCAGGGGCTGCTGGGAGGAGCCGGGAGGCGCCGCGCCGCCCACCACCTGCACCACTGACGCGTGCTGGGCCGCGGGCACCGGGGTGCCCACGTGCCGACCCGGACCGACGGCTGGCACCTGGCGGACGGGCGCAGCCGCCGCCGCCGGCTGCGGTGACGTAGCCTGCGGAGCTTTACGAGGCGTCGCACTGGACGGGGCAGTTGGCGGCGCGGGGTGGCAAGCCACCTGTATTGGCGAGCCAAGCTGGGAGAGCACCTGCACCGTGGTACGCGGAGATAGAGTCTGCACGGTGGCGTGCTGCGCCAACGCCTGCAGGGCCGCGTTTTGAGAGGTCTGTCCAGGCGGCTCTTGCGAAGGGGCCTGCACCGGAGCGCCCTGAGGGAAGGCCTGCAATGCCGTGTGCTGGGCGAAGATCTGCACCGTGGCGTTCTGACTGGCCGCCGGTCCTTTTGCAGTGTGGGGAAGGGCCTGCCAAGGTGCACTCTGGGCAAAAGCCTGCACCTTTACATTCTGGGAAAAAGGCTGCATCGGTGCACTCTGCGAAAGAGGCTGGGATGGTACGTTCTGGGGTGATGCTGTCTTTTGGAACCACGATGGTGTTTCAGAAGGCAGGACGGGTCCAGAATTCTCCAGTTCGTCATCCACGTTTTCTTCTCCCTCTGCAACAAAGCAAATCGGTTCAACCGGATGTTAAGGCCGAGGGGGATGCTCATTTACCTCGAGCCCAAAGGCTTCGGCGAGACAATTTTGACATGAGAAGAGGAGGGATAACATTGAAGAGCAAAATTAGCCAACGCTCTGACAGTTCCATCTTTTGTGCATCGGTTGTTTGTGGCAGAGATTAATTGATGTTTGATACGGATGGGAATAAAAAAATGATTGATCACAATCGGACCCAAAAAAAATATTATTAATCATATTCGCTGCGAAAGCCAACGGTGTTAAATTCATAAATGCAATCTTTAAAAGACAAAAAAAATGACAAAATATATTCGTAGTAAACTCTGCCTAACAGGAAAATGTGGGAATGACTGGCACACCCAGAGCTGCGCCAGTGTAGGGCCCTCAAGCCAGAACCATGATATGGCCTCACCAGACATCTGAATTTGATTTGGCACCAAGCAGGGCCCAGCGGGCTGGGGCATAATGATGCATTAATTGCGTGCGATGTCAGTCAGTAGCACCCCGTGTCATTTACGTGCACCTCGGACTCATTCACACTCGAGTGTGACATTAGCAGTGCTGCCCAGCTTCTGCGGTGGAACGCAAAACCGATGCTTCTGAATACCAATTAAGGGGCTGGCTTGGCATGGTTCCGGCACAGCTTGGCTGTGAAGTGAAAAAGGTATACATTTGCATGACCCAACGCTTGAACAGACAACCATGCGACACACCCGCTTCAATCCGAGCCCTGCTATGCGAAATCACACCTCACACTCTCAGTCACGTGAAGAGAGGCCAGCGTGACTTCCCCTCCGCCCCGCCCACTCCCATTCGATTGATCGTTCACCCCTCCAGACACAAATGCCGGGAAGCCGTCGCTCACCAGAGGCTGTGGAGGTCGCGTCGTCGTCCTCCGCGTAGTCATCCTCGTCGTCATCGGTGGCGGCAGCGGCAGCGGTGGCGCCGCGGCTATTCGAGTGCCCCGGCCGTGGTGTGGGCCCGCGGGGCATGGCCTGGCGCAGGAGGCTTTCAATGTGCGCCGAGTCCAGGCTCTCGCCCAGCTCGTTGCGCAGGTCGGCAAGCCGCTGCTGCGACGAGATCTTCTCGCGAGCCAGACGCTCCATCTCGTGCTCAAACTCCTTCTCCTTCCGCTTGAGCACCTTTGTGAGCGGCAGAGGTCACGGACGGTCACAACCAAGGGCCATAAGAAAAGAAGGTGATGAATCGCTCCACTGCGTGATTTGGTGAACAGTTATAAATCAGGATCGTGACTCGATTTCTAGAATATGTTTCAGATCCAGTTTTGCCATCTTATTTGTCGTACATTTGTATCGTCTCATTCGCTCAAACCTAAATTAAACACTCGCATATAATTTACAGAAACAGTTCAACGCATGTATGATGCGTGTTACAATGGATTTGAATTTCATGTCGTGTTACATAAACCACTATTGGTCTCTCGAGCCGCTCACAATTGCTCTCATGAAAACGACCTGCCTCCTAAGAATAAGCGAGTCGATGCCAGGTGACAATGACATCCAAAACGTGCAATTCAGCAATTACGCGAAAGCGTACTCACAACATTTAGAATTACAAAATAAGTCTCTAAGCGTCTCTCTGCTCGAAGGAGCCTGAAGCGGTGCTCATGAGCTGAGGTAGCTGTCAAAATTCAGCATTTCTACACAGGTCAGTTCTCCACCGGATGACCAATATTAACTTCACACAAACTCATCTTTTGATCGCAAAGAAATTAAGGGCTGGGATTTTAACTTTTAACCTTCTGATTTTCAGTCAAGCATGCTTGCCACAGTACAAATTGCTAAACGTTATGTGAAAGTATTCCTTTTTAACCAGGAAAGAAGAATCAGTTTATCCAAAGACTCGTTGAGAAGATTCCTAAGTAGAGATTGTTGACCAATTATGTTGGATGTTGTACATGGGGGAAAACTATAACATCTTGATGCTTTAACCCCCCCGCCACCCCCCAAAAACCTAAGTATGCATGCTACCTGCACTTATCTTTACATCCTTTCACACACTATGACAACATTTTCGCTGGCTGGCTATCATACGCATGTTGGTCGGCTTGCGTGCAGCGGTGCACCATCACCGGGCACATCAGCACGATGGTCATCCCACAGCGTTGAGCCGGGTTCGTGCGAGGCACCGACGCCTCCCCGCCCGCCCACCCACCCACCCACCCTCCACCTCGGTTGTGTGCGTCCCACGCAAATGGGCGGCCAGTGCCGGTTATATACGAAAAGGCAAAACGCACGAAAGGGCTTCCTCATTTTATAGAGTGAAGCCATGTTGCGCGGTTTTGGTTAGCACGCAACATTTCACGGAATAAATTGTTCAAGATAATCGTTTTCAGAGTTGCATGATGTTGCAATAGACTTGTGAACAATTTGCAGGAAAAAGTGTACGAGCGCTTTCAAAAAAACTGCCGTATAAGTTTGTGGCATCTGGACAGTAGTCTAGGAGAATGCATGATTGAAATTGAGGGAATAGAACACGGTGTGAATAAATAGACGAGTGGTGTGGACCGATGGCCCGTTTCATATTCCCGTTCCAATTATTCTGTTCTACCCTGCTGTACTGTACAAAAGAGTGTCCATCACATGGATTACCCATTGGATATTAAATCCCTCAGGTATAAATTATGGGGCGGTGGCCGAGTGGCTAATACAAGGTCAGGGCATGGATCTGGAACCACCGACAACCTGGGTTCAATTTCAGGCGAGTGCGAGATTTATTCAGGTTCCCAAGTGGATCCAGTTGATGGTCCCAGCCAAACAATCAACGAATGCACTGTAAAAAAGAAAACTCATCATGTTAAAGTTGAGCTTTTTAACGTCATTTGGCGCACTTCAGGCCGATAATTTAAAATGTTGACTTTTATATGCAACGAACACTCATTTCGAAAGGGGAAATAAAAATTGCGCCCCCCGTGTGGAAAAAAAAAAAGAGGCTAAACGATTGAATTTAAACACAATTCTGACAGCATGTGCGTTTGCTGTTTGAGGCAAGACGGTTTGCACGGTTTTGCCGAGAGCTTAAAAATAAATTCTCTTCACAGGACTCCAATAATGCAGTTGTAATAAGTGCGGGTAAAAATATATTCTGGATGATTCCGCCCCCTTCTCCTTCCCCCCGAAAATAAAATCCCTCCTCTTCCCGACCATCTCAGAATGCGAGTCACCACGACACGCAGCTGCATCTAACTGCTGCGTAAAACTATTATTGTATTGCTCAAGTTCGATAATTAGGCACAACCCTTAGGAGCAAGAGCAGGTTTGTTTTACATCCAAAGTGTCTACCCCCTCAGCGGTGCAATGCAAGGATGTGTTGGTTGTAGCAGAAGTGGCACAGTGGACGTTAATAGATCTTGCCACGATAATTGGTTCTTTACCCTTCTATCTGGCAACAAAACTGACACCTTTTTGCAAGGAGTCATGTTTGCATAGACCACAATACCTGCAGTCATAATACAGTGCACATTATCAGAGTTATGTTCTTTTGTTTGTATTATGACTGCAGGTATTGCGGTCTATGCAAACATGACTCCTTGCAAAAAGGTGTCAGTTTTGTTGCCAGATAGAAGGGTAAAGAACCAATTATCATATTTTTACTGGCAAATGAGGTCCCCATAGTGTAGATCTTGCCACGTTATTCAGAAAAGGAGCCGGTCACGGGTACCGGCATCCCTGCCCATCCATATGTGCCACATTTAAAAATGACTTGCAAACTACGGAATTGGGTGAAGCTCAACAGCAACATCGCCCCCATCCCTCCCGCCCACACGTACTGCAGGCTACTATCGTGCGTGAACACGCATCGCTCTCCCGACAGCCCTGCAAATGAACAATGACACGAACACCAATTGTTGCTCACAAGGTCGGATTTGATAACAAAAATATCTGTGCTCATATATCCGGGCTCGTGTTGCGGAGTCGACACTGCGATAATCACCAATGCCAACCCCCCTACCCCGACCCAGCCTCCCGCCTCCCCCCTCAACACCGCACCTGGATGTAGCGCAGGGCTCCGCGCAGGATCGTCAAATTTGACGTCTTCTTCTCCTCCATGCTGGGGATGATCTTCTTGAGCGCGTCGAAGCACTCCTTGAGGTGAGCGCGCCTGCGGGCAAGCAGGGCCACAGGTATCGCGCAAACGCCCACCACACATTGTTCACGGTCGCGCAACGTTAGCCAAGACGCGCGAGGAGGAGGGGGGGCGGAATCGGGGGGGGGGGGGCGGGAGTCGTGCCCGTTGTGCCTGGACCCGGACAGAAGTGCAGCAACAATAAGAAGATCAGTTTAACACGTAGCAGGCTTTGGCGGACAGTATTATCCATAAGAGGTTTTTTTTGGGTTAGATTGCGTAAATATCAATGCGTCATTAAACCCGCCACGACCAATTAATACGGTTTGTCACGGAAACAAAACATGCCAATTTGTTACTCGTACAGCACACCGGCGTGTTGCCAGAGTTGACAACACTGGCTGTCGCCTGATGCTGGTTGTAATTACTGGCAAACCGTCGTACTCGAATTCTAAATGTTGTGGGTTTACTCAATAAAACGTTTTGTTCACGTGACAAACCTTCCTTATTGGCTGTCGGGTGGTGGTGGGTTGAACGACACATTTATGCAATCTAACCCAAAACAACTCTTATGAACAAGAAGATCGCTCAAGCCAAGAGAAAAGACGCTGCCATGTACATAAAGAGGGAAAAACGTGAGACCAAAAAAAGATCAAGACGTCAAGTGTCACAGGTCTGCCCTTTACAACAAAAATACCTCGCGCAAGAGAGACTGGAATGCCAACAGGACTATATTTTACACCGTATTATAGAATCTACTGGTATCACATAATCTCGATCCGTCAACGTAGTTATTGTGACCTCAGTGTATTGGCCAGGTGCTCCGTTACTATCGTCAAGCGTGATGCATTACTGCAAATGCATATTTTGCAATAAAGCACAATCTTAAAGATATGTATCAAAAATAAAAACCAAGTCTTTTTTTCATTATGGAATGTGGCGTCGTATACTACGATTCGAAGTGGAACGATTGCAGATCCGACATCGCGATGCACAATCACTCCCGCGAGATCAACGGGAACGTGGTCGGGATGAGAACTTTTACATTCGGAGACCACCCGTACCGCATTCCCCTACTTATGCAAGGGGCAGCACTGCAAAAGCGCAAACGTCAGTCCAGATAAAGAACAGGGGACCTCATGAAAACACCACACGTGCGGCAATACATCTCAAACAAAAAATCCTGCGCTTCAGACCCCGTTTCTTACTCCGAAAGTGAAGGCGTTTCAAACGAAGCAAACTGGTGCTTCAAAGATTTATTAAAGGTCTCGTGAGAACCGTCCACGGGGCTTTGACAAAGCAGACGTAAATGGGGGCTTTTTTTTTTAAGGGAGGCCGAGGGAACAAACTTTTGCACAACAGCAGAGGACAAAACCGGAGAAGCAGACATCGCTCCGGCTGGCAAGGTGTGGTTATATAAAAATTCCTACATTCCTCCCCCTTGCAGAACCGCTACGTTGGCAGTGGATGCACCAACCTTGTAATACGTCATCTTGGTAGGCTACCGCCTGCTCCTACATAAATTAAAACATTATAATTAAAAATAAAATACTTTTTGAAAAAAAGACATTATTTTGCCACTTGCATATTTGCCCTAATTTATTTTATTCGGGTAAATTTCTAGTAATTGGCATCTGATTATCCATGCATTATTTTGGGAAGATCCCTCTCAGAGAAGTTGTGATTATTCTCATTATCCCCAACTCGGATACATCGGTTGAGTAAATGGAAGTCAATTCACAACGGCATCACGTGGCGACAACCCGTGTTATAGGGTCCGCGGCGATCCGCATGCCATTGCACACCTGAAATGTAAGAGCGATCCACACGTTGACATTACTTTCTATTTTTTAAAGCAGGTGAAAAGACAAAGGTGGTTGGGCACGATGCCACCCAGCTCCACTTGGCAACATCGCAGCGCGAGAGATTCAACACGGCTTGCGAGGTGAACGTATTTGCTACTCTCATTATGACGATGCCCCCCCTGGTGTTTAACTCAAACATGCACCGAGATTTGAGATTATTTTGGTGCTGTAAATATCCAAATGATGGGCCACTTTGTTGAGCCATCATTTATGGCCAGGTAACGTCTTAAAAATAAGTTAATACCTTAGTGGGCTTTGCCTTGTAGGATGGGGATGGTTTAGTTTAATTTGTAGGTGTTTGGGTGATTTGTTTACATTTCTTGTACTTTGTACTATCATGTTTTGGTACTGTTTGTTGTAACCTGCCCCTACTGTACATGTCATAAAGAGCTTTATAGCTCGTCGGATTCCTCCACAATAAATATTCTGATTCTTAAAAGTGCCGCCACCCTCTTTTCTGTCCGCCCAAGCCGTTCACCCCCCTACCCACCCCGCACTGCAGCGGTGTTGGTGGCAGGGTGGGGTGCACGGTCATCCAAACCGCGAGGCGTAAGCTCACCGCTATGCAGCTTTGACCTTCTAAGCTGCACGGCATCACCGTGCGAGCGCGTCTTTAAGAAGTCGCGTGAAAAATTAACACTCGCCAAATCTGACCGCTCGCCGTTACCGACCGAGAGGGCGTCTCGCGCAACGCACAAAACACTTTTCGAATTCAATACGCTCAGGTGGCACCCGAGCGTACTGTGGTGTGAAAATTGTTCAACACCCGCGCAAGCGTTTTAAGCTGTCACAAAGCGCTGCTTATCAACACGAGCTTTTACGTTTCGGTACCATTTTAATTGACGCTCTGGAAAACTGCTTCTTGCGTTTAGTTCATTATCCTTCCCCGCACCTCTGATTGGCACGGTTGGCTAATGTACGGTGCGAAAGAAGTTCAACACATCTCTGTACGTACATCGTGATAGCACCGTGTATTTCAACACGTGTTTAGGTTTCAAACGGCTTCAAAGGTTTAAGTCCTCGTTTATTCACTTGGCCTCTCTTAGAAAACGGCAAGACAGTTTTGGAAAATGGTCTCTATATCAAAGTCCCTCTCCCAGTACCCGTCGCAAAACTTACCTGGACTTTTCGAGCTTGTTGTGGACTTCCCTCGTTCCGGCACTGTTTATCGGGAAAGGGATAAATGACATTTACTTTTTTGGCTTTATTTTGCTTTCGTTAAAAAATAAAATATTTTTAATGTTAATCAACGGATATATATTTTTTTGAGCCTTCAGCTACGGAAAAGAAACGGAAAAAAAAAAACTTCATGGGGTTAACCGTAGACGCGGGTTTGCAAAGAGCGCTCGTAAGTTAAGCCTCACAAAGAAATATATTGCTAAAATGGAAAATAAAAGCACACACGACCAGGATCAAAGTTGAACAATCACTTACACAGCTGAACTAGACCAGAGATTAAATCACCCAGAGGTTAATCGACTAGACCAGAGACGAATCAGAGTACTGACCCTCCTGGTCTCCTCTTCTGATCGGCTGGAAATAGCTCATCTGCCGAAGCCTGTGCGACTTTGCTGGGCGCCATGGGCGGTAGCAGCGCTGGCTGAGCCGACTGGCCAGTGACCCCGGCTTGGCCCGGACTCGCCGAACCCGGCCCCGCGGCCTGTGGGAATGCTCGGCCAGGACTCTCGGAGCCCGAACCCGCAGAGAGCGACGGCTCCTTAAACGTGGAAGCGGGCAGCAACAAGGTAGGCTGTTGCTGCTGATGGTTCTGATGATGGTGAAGCAGGACGCGGCCTGGGTTTGCAAATCGAGCATTAACCGGGGCTGGAGTCTCTGCGAGAGGTGGTTGCGATGGCGAAACCGTCACTGCCATCATCCCACCCGCTGTGGCAACGTTCGCCTGCTGCTGCTGCTGCTGCTGAGCAGCCCGACCACCCGGGCCGGACCTTGGTGTGGCATTTGTGCCGGCCGACAGAGGCTGCGTTGGGGCGAACCTCTTGTAATCGGGCGTCAATTTGCTCGGGTCGGCCGTCGAGCTGGCCGATGGGGGCGACACTGCCGCCGCCGCCGCCGCCACCGCCGCCCCCCCCGGGCTCTGGGAGGCGCCGTGATGGTGCAGGGTCGAAGGCGGAGCGGTGGCGCCGGTGACAGCCGAGACGGCGTGCGCGCGCCCGCCCGTGTGAGCGTCGCACGTGCCGTTCGTGGGCCGCCGAGCAGAGGAGGGCGAGGGCGGCGCTGCGGAGGGCAGCAGCGCGCCGGTGGGTAGCACGAGCGTGTACACGTGCGGGGTGTGGTCCCCGTTCGACAGCCGGCCTTCCACATCGCGCTCCAATGAGATCTCGAGCTTGTCCGCTGAAACACAAGTCAACACTCTTTTCATTAAACCACACACAAGGCTCGCGCCCCTGATGTATTACTTCTATTTAAAGGCCTTGCGAGTTTTGGCTAAGCAGAGCTGTTATTTTGGCATCACACACTCGTTGAAGATGGGACAGTGAGAAGGTGCGATGGCAAGTGTTTAAACAGTGGCATCATTAAACCTGCAGATTTACGCAAAAGCTTTTTTTAAGATATAAAGATAACACAATATAGCATCATAATTGTACTAAAAAGTTGTAAATTGTTGATTTCAGCACCGATAAATGTGTATAAACCTGTAGTGGCATAAGATGCTCGTTGTACAATGTTATTTATGTATGTTAAACGTCTTTTGCACCATATGTAGCCAAACGCGCTTATCGGAGATGCACTGAGTAGTAAATTGAAAGCAACTCCTTTGACCAGAGGGCTTGATGAAAAATATCACACGGCACAACTATCGGCTCTCAAGTATTCAACGTTTACACATTAACGCTCCGCACGACCGACCAGTCTGGAAATATAACGCACGGTTTTCCAAACGCCATTCCTCACGGTCGACCACAGCACGGTATACATTTCCATATTTAACAGTCTTCTCCGTTTAAAAAGACCCTTCAGCACTCCACGCACGTAACGGTGGATAATAAAATCCCACATTGATGTAGGCAGTGCCAATTTAAATACATATCTTAATAGGGGAGGGCCTTAATAACATGGGACCTTTATTTGCAGTATCAAAAACATAATAGGTTTTACCCGTTCTGCCAATGAAACAGGTGTTAAGATGTTCAAACACCAAATAGGGGGCCTTAGTGTAAAAAGTGTGCTCTAATCGTATACTAATTACACGACATCACACGAGACGTTTTTATCAGTTGCCAGACAGGTGCAGCGTCCAATTATCTCAATTGTATTTGAACATGATCATAACTACATACTGTATTCATTTCCACACCCTTCATCACTACTGCTGGCCTACTCTTATGGAGGAGAACCACACAAAAACGCTTCTCATCAGATGAGAATTACGAACGAAAAACTACCACGCGCGAGCCGTTAACTCTTCATCGCTTGCCGCAGCTGCGTTTAATGTTTCGCTTCCATACATTTACCCCTGGTTTCATCTCCATTGTGATGTCGGCGTCATGCCAAGACAAAGTATCACAGATCCCGCAGATGCAGTACGACCCTTTTGTGAGAGAACAGCTCGCAGAAGTGGATAATTCAGATGCCATTGTGCTCATGCCGCCTGCCAGGGCAGTTAATGTCGAGAGGAAATGACCGATTTTAAGGTTCACGGTTTTGAAGGCAGAGGTCGCAAACGGGTTTTGATTCCTTCCTTACCCGTACCCGGCCGCACCAGGGTCGCAAACGGGTACCCGTACCCGTGCTCGGCCGTACCCGTACCCTACCCGTAGGGTACGGATATCGGGTACCTGATTGCGACCTCTGGGATGAAGCCATGTTGCAGGACGCGGGTGGGTTGATTCTAGGAACTTGAATTGTGAGAAGAGACAAGACGTTGGGAAATGAGTGACAAACAGTTACTCACAAGTGACTTACGGTCTACCTGTACCCGTACTCGGCCGCACCGGTTGCGATCTCTGTTTTGAGGCACTGATCTCCATCTGTCCTGAAGGACCACTGCCCGCATGTTAGATTACTTAACATTTCAGTATTTAAGTATTAACACAGAGCACCAAAATCACCGGATCTCATCAGGTACGCGGAAGGTGAGCAGGGCTGAGCTTAGACGGAGAGGGCACGGGAGGAGGAGGGGCACCCACTCTCCGGAAAACGGGGGTTGTAGGTCGATTTGGCGCTGTAAAGTTGGCAAAGAGCATTGGAGAGTACAATAATTGTTGTACCCCACAATGCCCCCCCCCCACCTTTAACCATCCGACACTACCCAGCGTGACGCATTAAACAGCAGCATTGGGAGTGGTGCACAAGTACTAATAACAGACAACTCACATTTGTCAATAATACTCCCCCCTCCAGAGGAATTTTTTTTGTTATATATAACTGGTGACGTTTTTAGTCATTGTACCTTACATCTCTCTCCTATGAAGGTCCATTGCCCAAAACGTCTTCAATTACATGTTTCTTTCCCTCTATAGAGCAGTTTTATTGGCAAATGTCTTTTTGTTGTTGCTATTTGTGCTTGTCAGCGAGTGGTCAAATAACTGAAATGACTCGCAACTGCGACAGAAAGGGCCCCTCTCATCTTAGCAGCGGATTGACAACAGCACCCATAAATGTCGACGCTTCACTCGTACGGCGGCTTGAAGGATGACGATGGCAAAGTGGTTTTCATGCTGCGCAAAAAAAAAACCTCCCCACAATTGCCTCCACAAATAACGTGATGCCATGTGGCCACGTGAACGGGCACATGCAACCCGCTAAGGCAAGTCCACACGTAACGTTGCACATGTAAACCCGCGTTTGAGGACACATCTCAAAAGGATTATTCCTACAAAAAAATTGCAATTTCGCAAGCGGTCGTGGTGATGTGATGTTGACGTGGCGTGTGTGTGCGCGCATTGTCCGGGGAAATATTCGGGGGTGCTGCTGAACGCATTACATCACTGCACCGGTGGTGGTGGGGTGGGTACGTGTGCGTCGTGTACGTTGCCGAGCCAAGACGTCACCGCAGCCCCAAAGGAGGGCTTTCCCCAAAGAGTGACATTTCATTCAAGGAGGAGCCCATCCCCTAAGCAGTGACGAGATTGCAATGAATGGTGGGGGTGGTGAGGGTGGTGATGAGGGGTGGTGGGGGGTGGTGGGGGCGTTTACAAACCCCATGACATCATCTTCGCGCAAATGGATTTCTCCGTCTTTCCCCGACGCGAGAATTCCTGTCGGGGGAGCGGCAGCGTAGCGTAGGCGCGCTACGCCATGAACCCAGCCACCCGAGTTCGATTCCCGCTCACGGCCACCAACACCATTGACAATTATCTGAACCGGTCCTGGGCCTTCTCCGAGGTCGACTCAGCCTCAAATGAGTACCTGGTGGTGCGGTGTGTAAAAACATCGCCCCTGGGGAGACAACGCTGGGATTTTTGCACGCAGCGTTGTAATACGGTGCTTTTTTTCTGGAAGATTTGCTGGTTTATCCAGGATGTTTCTGTTGCGCGTCGTCGCTTTAAGATGTTCTCTGTTCATATTTTGTTTGTTTGCGGTTGCACCCGACTCAAGAGCCGCATGGCTCTTAATAAATGAAACTTGAAAACTTGAAACGGCGGTCGGGTGTGGTGCTGGTCACCCACCCCTGCACAGGTGCTACTCGCTAACTGCACTTGCCCCGACAGTCTGTTAACGCTACACGGGGGATCTTTGTCTTTGGCGGCAGGGTGTTTACGCGAAACCCGTGACATCATCTCCGTGCAATTGGGTTTCTCCAACGTCTCTTCCCCGGACGATGGAATTCATCAGGGTCCAAGCCGGGAATGAGAAATTTGTTTTTTGTGTTGCAGCAGCAACAACACAAACATTAAAAAAAATCTGCACGAGGTGGACGAACTGTCATGTAGATTGACGCACGTGGTGGTGCAAAGGTTGCAAAAATCTATCGTGGGTTTTTTGTTGTGTATTGTTTTGTGTGCATTGTTTTGTGCGTATTGTTTTGTGCGTATTGTTTTGTGCGTATTGTTTTGTGCGTATTGTTTTGTGCGTATTGTTTTGTGCGTATTGTTTTGTGCGTATTGTTTAGTGCGTATTGTTTTGTGCGTATTGTTTTGTGCGTATTGTTTTGTGCGTATTGTTTGTGTATTGTTTTTTGAGTATTATGAAAGAGAGCTTGAGAGCTCCTCGGACAGATTCCTTCGGTATAAAATGAATATTCGGATTCTGAAACCAGAGATGAAAGAAGCTTTTGCTGGTTATTTTAACCATGGCCAAGGTAAAACGATATTAAATGTAATTCATTTTCCTCGGTGGACTGCATCATGAAGAAATCCGTTAATTACGGGCACGCCATCCCTACGCACGTGTCAACAGTGGACAGTCCTTCAACCCGAGAGCCACAATGGTTCCCCCGAGACGAGCGTTGCAAAGAATTCCGCGATGCTGCTGCTGCTGCCGACGTTTGTGCATTTTCTTAAAATGTAAAAATCGGTCAAAGAGAAATCGAACACCACTTTCTGTACCCGTCATCCCTACCGGTGTCGATCCTTCACTGCCAAAGTTCGGTGCCACTGGCTGTACACTCATACTGCTGCAGGTGTCATACAGGAAGACATTACAGCAGCTACCACTGACAGAACACATCGAGTACTCGTGATACTACTCTGCAAGTACTTTGTAAGCACGAGCCAGCAGTACTAAAAATGTAAAGCTGCTGGTACAAATCAGTAGTGCCGCTGCTTCTACATTGTACTCGTCAGTGGTACAACTGCTAATGATACGAGTCAGTCGCACCGCTGCTACTACCCCACCGGTACTGCCGTGTAAACGCAGCAACAACATCCTACAAACGCCACGTGCGCGTCACGCCCCAAGGCACCACGGCGGGTCACGTGGCACGCGGCATTGGCATGTGACGCGGGGTCCACGTGCCCCACTGCACCGCGCGTACAAAACACACAGAGGGGGGGGGGCAATGCCCGCTAGTGGAAATTCCACATTTCTTTGGCACGGGGACACGTGTGGAATCGGTCCATCTCCCCCCCCCCCCTCTCCACCACCACCCATTAACCGCAGCACGTCCAATTAGTTCAGAACGAATGATCGATTTTTAACACTGCGGTATTCCGCAGGTGGTGCAAGCGGAAGCCGCCATTCGCCCAACACCCCCCCCCCGCCCCCCAAATACATCAACCCGCAATCACCCCCCCTCCTTGCCCCGTCAGTGATGTCACCGCGACGCCGGTACCAGCCTGGTGTGCAACTCTCCCCATGGGCGTGCGTCGAAACGTACCGCGCGCGCCTTGCTTGTCCTGCCACTCGACGTATCGCGCGGCCTCCAGCAGCGTGTCGATGTTCATGTCGGCGCGACGTGGAGAGGCGACGTTATTGGTGGTGGCGTTGTTGTTGGTGGTGAGGGGGGGGCGTTGTGTAAACACGTGCGCGCTACGCCAAGGCGCGCACGCACGCACGCACACGCACGTGGGAGCCCGCGCATGCGCACACGCGACGCGCACACGTGGGTAGCGCGCGCGCGTGCGCGTGTTGGGGGGGGGGGGGGACGTGCGCGCACGTGCACACGGCCCCTCCCCTTCACACCCCACCCCCCAGTCCGCCGCCAGCAAGCGAAGCTCAATGAAAGCTCAACCTTTTTTGTTATATTCCCCGAGATCACCGCGCTAACTAACGCCCGCTAGTAACATTGCGGCGACCGCCAAATCGACTTCACCGATGACAAACGCCGCCGCCCCCGTCCCGTCCCCCCCCAGCCGGCCGGCCCGCCCGCCCAGGCGTCTTCTCTTTCCTGTTATCTCCAGTGCTTGACGTACTTCAAATTTCCCTTCATAAAACCCAGAGAGGCAAACAAGTCCGCGCCACGCACGACCGATGACATCCGATCCGGCGGAGCACGGATTAAGCGACTCTTGTCCCACTACCACCGCTCAATCACCGACCCCCTGAGGACGACGATCGTCTTTGCACGCCGCAGTCGCAGCAGCAGTAGCCGCAGTAGCTGCAAGGCCGTAGACGTCGGCTGTAGTCGAGGCGACGAGGAGACGGCCCGTGCCCCCCCGGCTCATCGGGACAATACCGCCACCCCGCGCAAAATGGCGGGCTCGCACTCCCGCCCCGCCCCCCTCCTCCTCCTGCAGCCCCGCCCCTCACAATCTCTAGCCCCCCCCCCGCCCTTCGCGCTAGAATCTCCACCCGGGATAAACGCACGCGGTGGGGTGGGGGGGGGGCGACCGCCGTCTCGCGCACCGCCCCGCCTCCCAACAACTCGGCGTCAAAACACTTGGGGTGGGCGCCACGCGCAACGGAGGAAAAACCAAAACCCGGAGCGGCGGGTTGGCAGCGCCGTGACGCGTGCGCGCGACAACTGTGGATTCTGGATCGTAATGTCAGCGTGGCTCTGTGCGAATTTTTATTTTTCTTCTTGGTTCTTTCGGTAAAGTGACGTAGAGTTGAAATAATAAAATAATAAAAATAAAACATAATAAACCAATTCTCACGACGTTTCGGCCACAACGCAAGTAGCCGTCCTCAGGTGGAGAACAGGTCTGTCGAGAAGACTTCAGACTCTCATGGATTGATCATAGCTGCTGCTGCTGATGATATCATTAACACAAGTGACATTTATTACACATAAAATTTCCATAAATCCGCATATATTTCATGCTGCATCCGTGTTTATAACCCTAAACTGTTATGTTTTAATAGGCAGCAATGCCAATGTATCATTTCACGTTAATATTAAAGCGATTTGTGAAATTATCCTGAAATTGGAGATTAAGTCTCTATAGTAATTATCCCAAAACAATTATTCCACCTCAATATATTCCAGATCGCTGCTGGAGTCTAGATTGGAGTAAGAGTCATCAGAGTTCAATGCATGCCTACTCATAATAAACGTATATGAATGTGCCCCATACAGCATCGCACCCTATATCCTTACATACGCAAGGGAAAAATAGAACGAGATGAATGTAGCGTTCTAGATTTGAAGCTTTCGCGACTGCAAGGATTCATACTCTTCGTTCTTTCGGTAAAGTCACGTAGGTAAAAAATTAAATTAAAATTCATTTTTTACCTACGTGACTTTACCGAAAGAAATAAGAGTATGAATGTAGCGTTGCCAAAACAAGCACTTTCCAGATGGCCCAAGATGAACTGAGCAATAGTCTCAATCTCGGGGCTATCATTTCATTCAAGTTCATTTATTTGGTATAGCCCTGTGAGCCATTCGGCTCTTGAATCGGGTGCAACCGCAACAAACAAAAAACGAAAACATGAACAAGAAAACATCTTAAAGTGACTAAGTGCAAACAGAAAATGCAAGAAAAGACAGCAAAATATTGCAGAAAAAGCACCGTACACCAACGCTGTGTGCAAAAATACCAGTGGGATGTAAGTCAAACAACAACCACAAGACAACTTAGATTAAGGCCATCAGCCTTACTCCGTACTACAACAAACAAACATGGCCAAACCAAAAACTTTTCGAAATCACCAAAATAAAGCCATGAAAGCAATGAAACAGTGATCATAGGAACTGTGACCGAATTTTCACAATAAACGACATCAACAACATGTACTACCAAACCCTGCAGCCATAGCTGGCTGCATGAGTCACTCCACAACAGCAGGAGCATCAGTAGGAGTATCAACATTTTTCAATGCACCTTTAAGATCAGCACACTAAATCAAAACACAGGTCATACTTTGCCTCGAGGATATCTGCAGAGTTCAAGTTACATTTCGGGTGCATTCCCAATTTTGCAATTCGCCCCGCCACCAATTTGAACCGTCAATTCTCCCGCAGAAATTTGTTTTGGAGCCTAGCAAATACACTTGGAAGCCTGCACAACCATACGTTAAGCTGCTATGTGCCACCGCTGTAAGGTAACCAGGGGGGGTGTGGGATGCCGGTCTCATTTGCCGATGCATTGGGTAAGAAACCTTCGTGGGTAGCTGTGTCTAATCACAATTCAGCTCCACGTGGGCATCATTTTTCAAACTTGGCAAAAATCGGACCGTTACGCCGCCACACCAAGTGGCCTAACTCCTGGGAATTGACGTCCACCGTGGGAGAAAAACACGGGTGGCGCAATTTGCACCGTTAATTACTGTGAATGTCACTGGCGTACACGGCGCAATAACAAACAAGGTTTGTGGTGGTGGGGTGCGGAGGGAATGGACGGGTGCGGCCGTGCGATCCAATTCCATTCCGGCCTCTGCCACGCGATCCACTCCACCGCGCGGCTTTCACCTCCCCCTGCCCCGCCCCCTTATGGTGACGTCACGCGCGCGAGCACGCTTTGGTTGTCGGGGGGGAGGGGGGCAAGTGACGTCAGGCAAAGGCGGCACCCGCCGGCTCGTGACGTAGCACGCGCGCGCCGTCGGTTCCCCCCCCCCCCCCGCGGTTGGTGACGTCATCGCGTAGGCGTGGCCCGCCGCTGTAAACACGAGCCGGCGTCGACCAATGGGAACGCGGCGCCGGGGCGTGGGAGGGCGCGGGCACCACGTGGTGGGGGGAGGTGGGGTTTGGGGGGTGGGGTTTGTGGGGGTTGGGTTGGGGGTGGGGGCTGTGTAAGAGCATAGGGGAGGGGGCGAGGGGGTTGCACGCCGCCTCGAGTTGCGCATGCGCGGTGCGCGCGTCCGCGTGGAGGAAGCACGTGCCGCGTGAGGGGAGGGGCGCGGGGGTGGGGGCGAGGGAGGGAGGGGGAGGGGCTGCCAACCACCCCCCTCGCCCGGCCCTATCAGAGCTACCAAATGCAAAGGGGATTTCTGCCACTCTCCGCTAGCCCCTCCTGTTGTTGTTTTTGTTGTCGTTGCATTGAACCGGTGTGCCGCATGGAAATCGATTACTTAAATACAAAATCGATTGCCCGTTGTTTTTTTTTTGCTGTCGTTTAAATCATCGACGCACAGAAATGTCTCGCAATTAAAAAAAACACTCGATTTTTGTTGTTGATTTTTATAACTGATGAAGGGGGTGGGGGGGTGAAGTTGTCATGGTGAGCGACACTGAACTTTGGCAAGCCGGTTCCATTCGATCTCGAGGCGTGCAAGTTGAAACAATGGGGCAAAAGTTGGTCATGTGTCTGCCACAAAGGCACAGCGGTCATGCGATAACATGTGTGGCGGGCCACAGTCCATGGATAGGCCGCGTGCGATGGGGTAAAGCCACCAGTATTGGCTGTGAGTGTCACTGTCGATGGCAAACGGACCACGTGGTGACTTAGGGGACGTCCATAAATGACGTCACGCGATTTTGAACGATTTTTGACCCCCCCCCACTCGTTAGACGGCGTCACAAAAGTCAGACCCCCCCCTCAAATATGACGTCACAAAGCTCTGCCCCCCCCCCAAAACCATATTTCTATTTTGATAATAAAACATGCTTCAAATCGCTTTAAACTATTGCCATCGTAGTGCGTATTTAATGTGGCGCTGCACTCTGATGTTGTAGGAGTGTTGTTGTAACAATTAGTGTTATAACAATTCTATATTTATTTAAAGTTGCGCATTTTGATGTGACGTCACATTTCTCACCCCCCCCCCCTCGTCACACATCGTCACAAATGTCTGACCCCCCCCCCCCCTTAGGTGCGTGACGTCATTTATGGACGGCCTCTTACACCTGCCGGATGGCGACTGCAGATTGCCCTGCTGTTGACCAGAACCACACACACACCGATATCAACCCATAATGAAACCCTGTATTGTGAACACACGCTGCAGTTTGAACCACGGGTCGGTAATTCCACCGGAATAAAAAAAACATTTTGGGTGGGGGAATTTGCAATCGGGGATATGGAAACGGTGACCACGGTTTACCGAACGTCGTCGAACGAACCCAAACACGTGGCCATCGTCATCAATTCTAGATTTGAAGCTTTCGTGACTGCAAGGATTCATACTCTTCGGTTTTTTCGGTAAAGTCGCGTAGGTATAAAATAAAAATAAATAATAAAGTAATAGAAATAATAATAGAAATAAAATAATAAATTTTATTATAAAATAATAGAAATAATAATAGAAATAAAATATTATTTATTATATTATTTTATTATTATTTCTCTTATTTTTATAATTTATCTTTATTATTTATTTTTACTTACGTGACTTTACTGAAAAAACCTAACAGTATTGTAAGCAACGTCTCCTACACGTATCTCTCTCTCTCACCACATTAAAACAAACAAAAATAAACCCTCAAGTTTGATTTTACAAAACTCATCGGTCCAACGGCGTTCTGGGAGGACGTAATTCCAGCAGCATTGACTCAGTACAAGCAAAGCGGTTTTGACATAGCAGTGTCTTTAATATAGGCTTTTGGGTCAGATCGCGTTATTTATAAATGTGTCGTAACCCTCCACCACCCGACACGGCTGCTCTATTTAAGACCGGGAGCAACAGGAGAGCTTCACCATTATTGTCCGGTGAAGCTGATTGTAATTATCAGCGAAACGTCGTACTCAAATTTCAAAATGCTGTTGATTCTCTCTTCAGCACACCGATGGGCTAAAGAAGTCAATTAATTTGTCCTTTGAAAAACGTGACACATTTTTTACTGTTTGGCCGTGTCGGGTGGTGGAGGGTTACGACACATTTATAAATAACGCGATCTGACCCAAAAACCTATATTATAAATAATATTGGTCGCGAAAGCCTACAACCTGTTAAATTATAGCAGTGTCTCATCAGCAGTCAGACTTGCTTGCACAGTAGTGGTGCAACAAAGCAGGGAACTAAACCGAACACTATTACACCACACGGGACACAGATAGGAATTAACCCCTTATTGTATTGTAGGGCAGCCTCCAACTATTAGGGGCCGTCCATAAATGACGTCACGCGATTTTGTACGATTTTTGACCCCCCCCCCCCCCTCGTCACACGGCGTCACAAAAAGTCAGACTCCCCCTCAAATATGACGTCACAAAGCTCTGCCCCCCCCCTTCCCCAAAACCATATTTTCATATTGAAAATAAAACATGCTTCAAATCGCTTTAAACTATTGTCATTGTAGTGCGTATTTAATGTGGCGCTGCACTCTGATGTTGTAGGAGTGTTGTTATAACAATTAGTGTTGTTATAACAATTCTATATCT